CGCAGCTCAGTTTGTCATCAAACAAATGGAATTAGAAAATCCAAAGGTAGTGGTATGGTCGGACTCTCGCTGTGCACTACATTGGATACAAAACAACTCTCGCCTCCTACCAAAATTTATACAGAATCGTGTGGAAGAAATACAAATGGCGAAATTCGCATATCGGTATATCCCAAGCGAACACAATTCAGCAGACATTGCTACCAGAGGAACCATTCCGACTCGTCTAATAAGTTACGAGCCTTGGTGGAGCGGGCCCACATGGATCAATGGTAATGAACCGAATTGGCCTCATTGGGAATACGACGTTCCACAAGAAGAGGATAACGAAGAAGATAAGAATATAGTAGCAACAACAACCACAGAAGAAATCATCAATACAAATCGAATCAATCTCCTGGAGGCAAAACGATTCAGTAAATGGACAAAGATGATAAGAACAACAGTAAGAGTACTAAAATTTCTCAAAAAATTATCTAAAGGAAAATTAACCTGGTTAAGCAGCGTATCAGAAAGGAATCCGATTACACCCGAGGATTACAATCTCGCTGCGGAACTACTAATAAAACAATCCCAATCGGAAGGTATAACAGCAGAAGAAGTGGAAAAGTACAATCTGCACTATGCAGACAGGTACTGGAGATTCCAAAGCAGACTACAATTGCCGAACGACAGGGAATACTCATCCCAAACAATATATCTCCCCAGACATAATCGAATAACAGAACTAATTATTCAACACCACCACGAAACGACGCATCATGGAGGTATCCCTCAAACTATTTCCAGAATAAGAAAGCTTTACTGGATTCCGAAAGGAAGGGCTGAAGTCAAGAAGGTGTTAAACCGCTGTATGAGTTGCAAACGCTGGAAAGCCAAGCCATTCAAATTGCCACCTATGCCAAATTATCCGCAAGAGCGGATCACTGAATCAAGAACGTTTGGACGAATTGGCCTCGACTATTTGGGGCCGATTACTGTGAAGATACAATTGGAAAAAGCAAAGCGATGGATCGCCTTGTTCACATGCTTCACCACCAGAGCGGTACATTTGGAAATGGTGGACGATCTATCAGCGGAAAGTTTCCTAACTGCATTAAGAAGATTTGTTGCGCGACGCGGCTATCCCGAACTCATTCTTTCGGACAATGCCACCCAATTTCAGGCAGTTTTTCAAGCCATAAAAACGCAAGAATCACAACTCTCTAATTTCCTTGCTGAGAAAGGAATCAAATGTAAGACTATAACACCGAGAGCACCATGGAGCGGCGGAATCTACGAAAGATTAATCGGCCTAACAAAAAGGAGTTTAAGAAGAGCTATCGGTAGACGACTGCTTAAGGAAGGGGAACTAATCACACTGATTATCGAAGTGGAAAGCATTCTTAATACTCGCCCCTTAACTTACGTAAATTTCGACGATTCAATTATTTTGCGACCAATAGACTTCATCATTCCCAATGCTTCTTTGTCTATACTGAATAGCAATAACGACAGAGAAGACGAATTCTCACCTTATAGTCTAACCACACAAGAAAGGTTACTTCAACACTGGTCGAATACCCTGGAAACATTGAAAACATTTTGGGAGATATGGAAAGACGAATACTTGAATAGCTTAAAGGATCGATACCAATTAGAACATAAATCTCCAAGAAATGTAGAAAAGAGACAGCCGATAGAAGGAGAAGTGGTACTGTTAGATGAGCTTCATGCACCACGTGGTACATGGAAACTAGCAAGGATAAAGAAATTAAACGTAGCCAATGATGGGTACGTCAGGAGTGCTCAGATCGAAACATCGTCAGGAAAACTTCTAAATCGACCTGTAAGCACGTTGTATCCACTTGAAGTTACTCCAGAAGAACAGTTTACTCCGGAGAACCTCGCGAACCCATCAGAGAGAGCAGAACCAATTATCCAAAACCGAAACACCACAACTAACACGAAGATTTCGAGTGAAAGTGGTGAGGAGCAACCTATTGCTCATCGAACACGGAGCCAGACAAATTTACAAAAAAGGGAGAAGTCAAATTTCGTTTTAACCAACTTACTGTTAACAGTAGCAATATCGATAATTCTACAAGCAGCAGAAACGAAGGAATGCAAATGGACATCAGGTGTTCCATTTAACATGCCTCAGAAATGGAATTGCAAAACAATTGAAACTCGTAACGTCACACCGATTCGAATTACAGTCTACACGCATGTTCATGTGAAAATACCTACCACCATCCCTTTACATTTAATTCAAACTTGTACTACCCATAATCAAGGTTTAGAAAGTGTTGAGGATCACAATGTTTTATCCTATAAACCCCAAATCTATCCATTAAAATACTTTTCGCTCTTCCCTCGGGAGTGTCGAGAACAAGCTCGAAATTCCACTAGAAATAATCATTGTTCCAAAAGTCTCCCCGTTGCTTAGCTCATCCTCCTCACTAAATTGTCAAACTACTGATTGCTTGTTTGGTTTAATTACCCAAGATAAAGCACTCGACTCAATTGTGCAAGTGAACCAACCCAATTCAATCCATTCACAACACCAATCCAATCCAACATTCACAACAGTTATCATCAAATTAATATAGCACAAAACAAAAAGCCAAAGCAAAAAAGTATTAATTAGACTAAATCTATTTCACGAAGAAATAATTTTAATTTTGATAGAACAATAAATTTCGATTTTTTTTTTTTTTTTTTCATAAAAAATCCCACTAATTACGAATAAACAACATCAGTTGTTCACGAAAATAGCCATTAAATTAACAAAATTCTTTTCAACTCATATTTTAGTGAAAGTGATCGTAAATTAAAATGAAAGTTTGCTATCGATTCTGTGATTGAAGTGCTTATCATTATATCAATCTTATCAGCTGAACTAACAATAACTCTCGATAGGAGACTACCAGTATATGTATAATGAGAATAGATTTTCTAGGAAATTACAGAATTAATGGTTAATAAAATTTCAGATGAAATCTAGGTTTTAATGAGAGTAAAGTTAAATTTGAATTAAAAAGTAAACAAACTCAAATTTGAAAATAAAACTATGCAAATGAATCCTTCATGCATACTTGAAAATATATTCTAATTAATAGCTTAAAAATTATTTTCGAGTAAAATTTTAAGTGATATATTCTTTTTATAGGTATTGCTAGTGACAATGTTATAATTAACACAAAGCAGAAATTTTAGAAATTTTGAAATTTTTTATTTACTTTTTAGAAATTTGAAGAATTTTTATTTTATTTTTTTGGCTGATTACAATCAGATAATAAAAGCAGAAGATAAGGAATTGTCAGGTTTGTTCATTATATCAATTTTTGATCTCTAGAACATTTGATGTTATGAGAATTTCAAAGGCAGTTGATTGATTACGATCAGATGATAAGTAATGATAAAGTTCAGTTGCGATGTTTAGACTAAGCTTTAAAAAAAAAAAAAAAATATTTTTTTATTTCAAAATTAATCGAATCTTTTCTGTGAATACTTTTTCTATCTCAATAATATTTGCTGCTATTATCAAATGCTGTGAGTTAATCATTTTTAAATTATTACCAAACATTTTAAAGTGAGTATTTATTGTTGTTGATCAATTTGATTTTTAAAATGTGCGCAATTAACTAGAAATATTATGAAAAAAAAAAAAAAAAAAAAAAACATAAGGAATTAAAATATGGAAAGCTTAACAGTTCCAGTTTCTAACTTTCCTGATCCTGTTTTACTGAATCACTTTATATTGAAAGATTTCTTCCATCAATAAAAATCATTGATCAGTAGTAGTATGGCTTATTCATATCAAATCAAATTAATAAATTATTCCTCTTTATGATAACTCTTTCTAGCATTTTCTTCTCAACATTACTCTGACATTTAAACTTTGTCTCTGATTTGACTAAGAGTTATGCAAAACTTTAAAATAAAAAATGAATTAATCAAAATTTAATGTTTGAAATCGGAAGCAAACATTTTTCATAGACTTATTTTGCTATTTTCAATATAATTACAAAATTGGAAATGAATTGGCAGTCGAGAACAATCATAACAAATAATAATTATTATTATTAATTAAATTATTTTGTATAATTTATTTAACACAATGTCTAAAATTGATTATTATTTAATTGCAAACAAATAAATCAAACAATGAAAGTTCGTGATTTAATTAGCAATGTTAACAAAACTTTTTAAAATTTGTTATGATTGTCACACTGGCAGCATAAAATGTTTGCACTAATATTCGAATTAAAAGTCTAAAAACATTTACTGTACAAATTATTAATGAAAGTAATTATTTCAACTTTAAATAAGATGCAATTATTCAAAAAATTATATTTAAAAAATAAATTCTTTCTCAGTTTAACTAAATAATTAATTTTACATTAACTTTACAACAAATTATCGAATAGGAAAAATAAAAGACATTATGGAAATAGTTAGATGCGTAATTGTAAAGAGAATTACAATTAAAGTAGCAAAAGAGAAAACTCAAAATGAAATTCGTATTTAAAAACCAAAATCTTTTTTTTTTCCAAATTTTTGAAAGTATTTCAGAAATTGATAATAAATTTAGAAAAAAAATATAGAAATATTGCCATCTAAATACACATATAGAGAATATCCTAAGAATTTAATGAAATTTTGAAATGTTATCAAATTTATCACAAAAATTCTTCGTGCATATCTAATCAATTATCTTTTCTACAATAAATTCTAAAAATGTTTTAATGGCGCTATCATAGCTTTCATTTACATTTTTCATTTGTAAAGTTTTATTCTAAAATTTTTCAGTTGCATTATTTAATTGATGAAATTTGAATATTATTCGATTAAAATATTTTCTGCTAGTAAAATTTAAAAAAAAAAGAAAAAGGAAATGAATGAATGAATAAGAAAAATGTTGAAAATATAGGAAAGAAAAATGTTGAAAAATTATTAATTAATTATGTTGTTGAAATCTGCAGATATTTTTAATTGGAAATTAATTATCGAAATTATCAAGTGAATTCATCGGTGTGAATGTATTCTTTATAGTTTTTCAATGCTTCCATTACTGCATCACAACTGATTGTTTTGTGAAGAATCTGAAATTGTTGTAAATATTTAAAAATTATAATTGAACAACAACAAAAAATTAAATTACTGATATTATTATCATTGATAATCACTCACCAAATACTAATGATAATGTCAAAAGGAAGATGAATTACAAAATTAAACATAATTTTCAGTGATTTTTTTTTCTTTTTGTTTTGTTTCTGATCTAATAATAAAAAATAAATAAATAAGGAATGAATTTAAGTAATCAATAAAAATAGTACCAAAAAAAAGTGAACGAAGTGAATATTAAATTATATTATATTTTATTAAATACATATGTACTTCATTAAATAATGTTTTATATATTATTAATAAATTATATTGTATATACTTTACTAAATGAAGTAATATATTTAAAAAAGTATAATGCTAAATAATATTTTTTATTAAATGTTATATTTTGTTAAATGATATATTTTATTAATAATACACTTTACTAAATGATTTTCTCCGTATTAATTTTGAATTTATCAAACATAATAAAATGAAATTCTGATAAAAAATAGCATAATATTTCAAACTTTTTTATCCCTTTAATTTGATTTTTAATTTTGAATTATAATAGCAAGTAGAGACATTTTAAATTACCTTACCATCACATGACATGTCACTCGCCTTACAATCATGTGACATGTCACTTTAAAGATTAAATATTGGAATAAAAAATAAGCAATGAAAATAACTAAACTTAATTTTAACTTTCATTCAAGATTATTTCATTTCAAAATTAGCTTCGTTCTTTGAATTGTTAAACAATTAATTTAATAAAATTAACAGTAACAAATTAATTAAAATCAAAATAACTCAACGATATATGTTTAATCTGTAAAACTTAAACACACTAAAATCACAAAAAATTTAGGAATAATTTTTTAAAAATATTTCCTAAATTAGTTTACGTATAATTTTATGCATTATTTACCACACATAATACTGTCTGTGGCGGTAAATGATCAAAACCGAATGGCGTTGACCCATTTTGTAATCGTTCTTCTCTTCCTTTTATGTACCAATAATAGTTACGATGAATTAATCGACTTTCCATTGACACTATAGAAGGAAAAAAGAAAAAAAAATTTTTTTCTTTTTTTTTAAGTATTTCAATTAAAAAGTTAAAATTGAAAGTTCTTTTGCTTTTGTTTTTGTTTTTTAATAAACATAAACAATAATTTATTTGTAGCATATCGTGAAGGTATCAAAATGCAGTAGGGATAGACAATTTCTTGGAAACTACAAGAAAACAACTGTCATTTGATATATGCTTAATTAATAATTAAATTAAATCAAATCAAATTTTGATTATTTGATTTTTTGAAGTTTATAAATAATGTTTGTAAGCATTATGTAACTGTTTATAGCTATCGAGAAAAAAGATAATTTTGTATTTATGCAATTATGCGAATGTTTATTTTGGATTAAAAAATTATTCGTTCCAGTTTGAATGATAATTATCAGTGAAGCAATTTTGATAACGATAAGATCTAATTTTCATAGATATAAATTTTCTATAGCTTCATTTGCATATCAAATTAAAATTATTAGCTAATATTGTAAGCTTTGTTTTGCAAGTTAATCAATGCTAAGCATATAATCATAATTAATATTACTATTATTATTATTATTATTATTATTTAAGTAATACCTAATCAATTTCGGTATTTCTTATTTAATCATTTCTCACTTATCAATCATTAGCTAAAATATCAATCATTTATACTTTTTCTGAGCAATATTTTATGATCAAAAAATGATCGATTTATAATTTGATTGTAAAATATCCGAAAATACTTTATCATATCATTGATATTTTCATTTAATTTTGATATTATATATTTAAGGAAAGAAAAAAAAAAAAAAAACTTACATTCTGCTAGAGCTGTAAAATTAGCGCCAATAAAGATATTTAATACTAAAAAAATAACGAATGATGGAACCATTGATAAAAATATCTAAAAGAGATAAATGAATTTAACAAATAATTTAAATCACTTAAATTCCATACAAACATATCAATGATATTATTTTCTTTTTTTCTTGGTTATATTTTACTTTGCCTTATTTTTTTTTTTTTTTTTATTTTTTTATTCATTCATTCGTTTATTTGTTAGCAATAATAACTCAAATATTAATTAGTAACAAAATAATTTTAGAAGTGAGAAAAAAAAAAACTGCAAAAACATTTGTTGACATTTGGATGAAAAAGTGAAATTAGAATAATGACATTATAAAATGAATGAAAATGATAAAGGTCATTCTAATGGTCAAATATTGATGACCTTTGATAAGATAAACTATAATTGAAATTTTCACAATGCTTTAAGCAAAAAATGGAAAATATTCGAAATTGATAATGAAATCATTTAGAACTGATTAATGGCCAAATGTTTAGTTTATTGAAATGACAGAACTTAATGAATTATTGTCTGAATTTTCGTTGTCCATCAATTGGAAGCAATTTCCTGTGATTCATCGATATGTTTAGTAGCAAAATCATTAATATCAGATTGACCTTTAACATTTGATTTTAATTTTTAACAAATTTGTCAGAGATGAAAAATGAAAAAATAAGTAATTTTAAAATGAAATTTTCTTCGAACGAATGAATGAAGTGAAAAAAATTTGATAGTTAACCTTTCAGAAATTATTGATAAATCACCAAATAATTATGCAAAACTTTGTTTGGTATCGAAGTTATTTAATTTATAGCAAATGGTCATATCAGTCTTGATGATAACCAGTGATAACATTATGCAATAAGTGATAATATCATGTAATAATTAAGGGTAAAAAAAAATAAAAGTGTAAATTTGAGATGAAAATGAACTTGAACAAAACTTTAAAGAAAAAGAAAAAAGGATGAGGAATTTGAAAGACAAGTAAACTGTAAAGTTTGAATTTAAAATAAAAATATATCTTCAAAATGTATCAAATTACGACAGAATGACGTGAGAAAAATAAAATTCGATCTTTCTAGTATAAAATGAATAAAAGTAATAAATTTTTGTTCCGATTAGAAAGATAAAAATAAAAATTTATCATGTTTACTTAGTTTTTGCAGTTTAATTCTTTCATTGAGTAATAATCATTATCCGATCAGTGTTATTTAATTATCATCATCTTTGATCAATGATATTATGATTTGATGAAATGATTAATTTATTTACTACAGTTATTTGATAAAGCAATTATAAGCAACAATCCATTGTCAAATATTTATTCCTTGTCGATTAATCGATCATTATCACCTCCTCAATATCAATTTGAAATTCAAAAGATATAAGTATATTTTGTTTTTTTTTTTTTTTTTTTTATTTTAGTTTTTATTTTTGCAGTAACAATAATAATTAACAAACATTACTGTTCGTACAAATAACAACATTGTAAGTGACAGCAATAGAATATTTATACTAATTATGGGAAATAATAAATGAATGAAATAGCAAATGAAAGAAGCAACAAAAAAAAAAAAAAAAAAAAATTTAGCTTACAACAATAACAGAAATGATAAAAGGAATAATAATTAAGTAAAAAGTGAAAAGTGGAAAAAAATAAAAATAAAACTTATTACCTCTTCCTTTAATATATTTTAATCATTAATAGATGAGCTCTTTTGCTAACAAAATGCAATAATATATTTCATCCTATCAACAAAACTAAATTATTGAAAGTTTTAACTTTTCTCAAATGTTAGAATGGTAGAGAAAAGAAGAAATCAATGAATGTTTACATGCTAGTTAAAAAGAGAGAAAAAGCATCTGTTAATGTTACTAAAGAATGAAATTATTTTTACATCAAAATGGCTCAAAGAGACAAGAGAGAAAAAATAAAATAACATAAAAATAAAACAGAAACTAAGTGCATTACTGCTCAAAGTTAAAGCTTTCATTTAGTATGAAAAATTCTCATTAAAAGTTTCAAAATTAAAGGAAACATTCTTTGCACTTGAAAAATTGTATATTGATGTTTGTCACTTTATTTTTTAATGTCCCTTGCATACTGTCCCATCTATTTTATTTTTTTTCATGTTTACTTTGCAGCCCTAATTTGCCTCAGTTGTGCATATTATTATGTATGTTTGATCACACAACCTTTGACCTTTATCCATGCTATCTATGTCTTTGGAGTCAATCTAAATTTATAGCGCTCTCTCTCTCTCTCTCTCTGCTAGAGAAATTCATCAAAACCAATGAATGCAGTATTCCCTTTGCGGATCGAAATTTCCTGCATTTTTTTTTTACCACCTGTAGGATTAAAATGCAGACATAATATGAAATTGTATCTATCCAACTTCGGAAGGAATTCCCTTCATTATCCTCAACACATTTCAAAATGTAATTTAAATCTTCGAAATAATAGATGACCAATAACACATCTAATCGTCAATAAGCCATTTTATGCAAATTCGAAAACTGTAACAATTTCCCTTTTTTATACAAATCCATCAAGTGAAAAACTTAAGATTTACCTGGCAACATCAGTATAATCGAATATACTGCCATCTAAAGTTAATATTTAATCCTAAAATATTATTGAACTGGTTACATATAAATGATTAGTGAACTTTCAGAATACTATTTTATAATTTATTAGAGGTTTTGTCTAGTAGAGGTATTTTTCACATATTATAATCACAGTAATATGAAAATAAATGACTACGACCGCCGTAGCAAGACAAAACATGCATAAATTAACAATAAGTAAACAAATGTGTCTTTCCAAGCTGAATATTACATAGCTCATCCTGTTGTTATCAATGAAATATTGGAAAAGTGCACATTCGTTACCAATTTTTAAAGATTCTTACCAAATTTACAATTAATGATGTCATCACAAAGATATTTTTTTAAGTGTTTCAATTAACGCTGTGGAAAAAAGAAAAGAATTGTAAAATACAACACTGCATAAAACAGAGAATAATGGAATAAATAATTATATATCATATTCTAATAACAATAAATATAATAAGACCAAAGTTCAGAATCAGAAATCTTCCTTCCATGAAATATTCTCGACAAAGAATATATAAATCAAAAGAGGAGTATGAAAAAATTGTTTAATGCAAGAAAATAATAACACTTAAATATATCCCTATAATATCTAACAATCGAGGTATAATATGTAATTAAAAAAAAGACAAATTTATTAGTTTAACGAGACTAACTTACACATCTATTCTTTGAAATCAACATTTATAAAAACATTTTTTAAAAATGATTTACAATATATTTGTTCTTATATTGTGTTAGTAATTTTATTTATAACAAAACCACCTGAATGAAAAACAATACACATTTACGAAGCTGCAACAAATTCATTCAGATCAATACAGGGTAAAACATTTTTCAGTTGAGCTAGCCGTTTATCAAGTATTCCATTAATTCGTTTCCCAGGATATTCCACAGATAAAGTAGCATGTTTCCCTTTTATACAATCATTTCGCAATGAATCGATGTATTTCTTCCGTTCAATTTTATAACCTCGACAATATTCGAATTCTAGAAAAAAAAGTTTAATTAAGTTGTAGAATTCAGAAAATCGAACCAGTATCAATACCACAGCATTTAAAAATGGGTAGAAAATAAGCCACCAACGAAAAATTTATAACAGTCAGAAATGCTTATGAAATATCCACTTTCATCTAAAAAATAAAAATAAAACTTATGAAACTTACGTTCAATGGCACTGTCAACATCCCAGCTATCCACTTCAATTAAATATCGACAAATCATGTATCCTGTTCGATTCAAACCATGTGTACAATGCACACCAATTAATTCACCTTAAATTTGAATACATTTGAATACATTGTATATGCACTTGAATATTTCTGACAAAATTTCTTACAAGAACTCCAACAGAGGTATAAACTTCCATGCATTCATGCCTTTTTAACCACTGAAAACGAATAATAACATAAAAACCGAAAAAAGAGCAAGGTAAAACATGATGAAATCTGCATTTTTGTTCCATAGGAAAAAACCGCAAAGAGAATACAAAAGTAAATTATTTCAATATTTGCATAAATATAAGCAAGTATTCCACTACTGGTATGGTCTGAGATAGTTATCACTCATACAGCACTACCAATATGTCAAATCATTATCATAACAGTGACATCATTGCTATTGCTATAAGTCCTGTATCCACGATTTAAAATTACACTTTGAGAATAGAAACAAATATAACCGACACTGTCTCATTTCTTAAAAAATGAAATACGAACCAGTATGGATATGTTTAGACAGAAAATCACTGACAGTGTTATAAAATTTTTCAATGTTTTCCATTTGAATGTTTATATGATGCCCCATGCACCATATCTTTTCATATTTAATACCGATACGAGTCCATTCATGAGGATCATAATATTTTTGAGTTGCTGTTAAATCAATAACAAGACCTATTTGCTTACCAGCAGCATTAGCCTAGAAAAAAATGGTTTCTAGCTTTTAAAAAAATTTGGTTGTTGTACATAAATTACAAGCTTATATCTTCAAAACATATTTTCCACTAGAAATAATGCACCAACTAATAATTCTACTTATTGACTCTTTTCTTTTCATTATTGCTGAACAGTATCTTACCCACCACTGTTGATGACAATAACAGATGTACAAGAACTTTTACAATTTTACTACTTCTTATCGAATAAGATCTAGATTTCTCACAAGGTTTCTAGTAACCTTACATACATACATACATGGAAAAATAACTTAAAGATTACAACTTACCATATCATTCAAACTTTTTGTTTCGAAGATATTTTGAACGTCGAATTCATTACGATTCAGAAAATAATTGTGTCGCAAGGGTGTCTTAAAGGCGACAAACCGTGTTCCCGGCATATCCTTTCCAACTGGATCATAATCAATCCACCTGAAACGAATATCAGATAATATTTAACAATTTTTACGATTAACTAAATTGTTAAGAAAATAAATGTTAAGAGGAAGAAAAAAGAAAGCAAATTTTGCATTGAGATTTAACTATCTCAATTTAGCATCAATTTATGAAAATCATCGCAGGAAATTAGACCCAATAAACTTCAGAAATCGGCTTTCTTACAAACCAGCACTGGCTTTTTTACAAATTTTTATTAAGAAAAAATATTTATAAATCACTGCATTACCTATCGGGAAATTTGCGTTGATTAGGTATGGTATGATATAAACGTCGTTTTGCTTTACGCTGCAATTTGTCCGCATGTGACGATCGTTGCGTCATATTTGTTTTTTCAGATAATTAGGTAAGTGTAATTTTTGGCACAGTTCCTGCAAAAGTTTGACTTAATCTTTGATTCTCCAAAAATATAATATCTACAAAGATATCCACAACAACAACAAAAAAAAAAGTGAAACATTACCATAAACCAATCGGGATGGAATAATTTCACAATGTCTATATCAACCTGGTTCGTTTCAGACATTTTATAACATAATGTTCCGTCCGTACCTGCTCTGAAGATGATTGGTAAATGGTTACCCGTGGTGGTGGGTAGTTTGCTTGCTGGATTGGGTGGGCAGTAGTGAGGGTTTGCTGGGCTAAAGTGGGTGTCTATTATTGCGCTACCGAACTGAAACTTTTAGTTTTTGAAAGTTTGCCGAGGTGATCTTTTTCAGTTTGAAATAAAAATTTAGTTTGATTACTATCTGAATAAAAAAAAAAAAAAAGTAAAATTAAGATTGATTAAAATATTCCAGGACGTATTGCTTTGAAATTAAACAGTCATTTTTATTTAGTTCAAAATTCTAAATTTGACAGTATGCAAGTTTCAGTTGAGATGGTTGTCAAAAGTTCAAGAAATAGCGAAGCACAAATTTTAAGAAATACTCATAGATAAGTAGACAAGAAATTTTCATACAGAAAAACTTCGAAAAACTGTAAAATAACTTTGCAGTTGATTTTTGTAATTTGTTCCTCCTACCATTAAAAGAAAAAAAGCGAACTATTCTACAATTCAGTTAATTGTTCTGCAAAGTGTAACAAGACATTAGCCAATGAAGCATACAGATACTATGGGTTGAATGCAACCAGTTCCAGCAATAAATACAAAAATTCGAGTAATTATTTGATAATTTATTAATTTTACACAGCTAATGGATCATATGTTATTATTATAATTGAAATGTTTGAAATATACTTCAGTTTTTCTTATTATGTGTTTAAGATAACAGCAACTATTTACATCACTTGTTTTATTGTTTTCTTTTTTGTAAATTAAAGATAAAACTTTGTAATTTTAATTTCCGTTATATTTTAATGCATTTACTATATAAAATTAATATACAAACATACATGTGATGACAGTGATATATTTAAATGATAAAATAGAGCATATAAAAGTACTTGAAGAGGAGTGGAGCTGAAAAATTTATTGTGATATAGAAATTGAGATAAATATGTAAATAATAAGCGAATGAAAATAGTTTCAAATATATCAATAAATAAGTGGAAAGGTAAATAAATAAAACTACAAATTATTACCAACAATATATATTTGCGATTATAATCATAAATTTTACAATATGCTAGTTAATTATTTCAAAGTTTCGCATTTATAAAAAGAGAGGGAGAGAGAGAGAGAATAAAAAAAGTTTCCCAACCTAGAAAAAATGAGACTAACAGTATTTATTTGATTTGAATTATAAAGCATTTGTTTGGTTGGGAAAGAGAAAAAGAAAAAAAAAAGGAAGAAAGAGCTAAATAGGCCATATTTCTCTCTTCTTTAATTTTGACAATGTCACTTCATCATCTAGTAATTCGTAATATTATTATATAAATTCTTTTAAATCATATCATATATTTGGATAGATGGATGAATGAATTGTTTGAATGGATGGATGGATGGATGGGTGTATGAATGTTATTCGAATAACCTTGATTTAGTTTCAATTAGTTGTGATTTAGTTTCAATTAATTGTGATTTAGTTTCAATTAGTTGTGATTTATTTTCAATTAATTGTGATTTAGTTTCAATTAAATGTGATTTAGTTTCAATTAGTTGTGATTTATTTTCAATTAATTGTGATTTAGTTTCAATTAATTGTGATTTAGTTTCAATTAGTTGTGATTTAGTTTCAATTAATTGTGATTTAGTTTCAATTAGTTGTGATTTATTTTCAATTAATTGTGATTTAGTTTCAATTAAATGTGATTTAGTTTCAATTAGTTGTGATTTATTTTCAATTAATTGTGATTTAGTTTCAATTAAATGTGATTTAGTTTCAATTAGTTCTGATTTAGTTTCAAGTAGTTGTGATTTAGTTTCAAGTAGTTGTGATTTATTTTCAATTAATTGTGATTTAGTTTCAATTAGTTGTGATTTAATTTCAATTAATCGTGCTCTGATCACGATTTATTCCTGGTCCTATCATCATTTATAGGTGGAGAAGGGAAATGAATAAATGTTATTGCTCTCTAATGAATGATATTAAGGCCCTTGTTTAGCTGTTCTACATTTTTCTTTTCATTTTAAATTATATTTCACTAATTAATTGATTTGAAACTGTCTGATATTTCAAAAGAAAAGTAGCAGTACTCCTGTTGAAATTGCACACAAAAAGAAATGTCATTTTTAAACTGTGCAACATCTAAATACATCATAATTAATGAATTAATTGATTTTGAAATTTAAACATTTCATTTTTTTTTTCTTTTTTGTTCTAAAATATTCGTTAAAAAAAAAAAAAACAATGAAATAACTGATAAAATTTGCATTAAATTTGCGTCCATTAAATGATCCATTGAATTGGTACAATTATTCTTAATTTTAACTTTTGAAAAAGTGCAAATTTTCAGTTACTTGAATTTTTTCAGCTATTTTCAAATGCTGGTCACTCTATCAGTCATAAATCAATTAATTAATTCATTATCACATTCATTGATTTCTGAGATTATCCAAAAGAGGCGCAGAATTTATTCGCATTATGTATTTTAAAGAGATATAGTCATAAAGGAATTTGAAAGGATTGAAATTTATCAAATAAACAATCGCAAAATATAAGGTAATGAAAATCTGAAAATTTTTCCAACTATTTTTTTATTTATTTTCATATCTAATATCTAATTTACTTCCCATTTCGTAGTTTATAATCATTTCAAAAATTATCATATACGTAACGTAAATAATCACGTAAAATGAGTGATTTACACTTGCATTGTTTATTTTAAGTAATTTATTTATGGATAGTAATTTTGTTCAAAATTAATTTCTTCTTTTCTATCTTTTTCTCTTCTTTTATTACTTTTTCATTTATGTTTTTTTCAAGTATTTTTAAATTTAAAATGTAGAAAAAAAAAGCTAAATTTGAATAGAAAACACATAATTGTCAGTGAGATAACTTCTCATCGTTATCATGAAAATTCTAATAAATGAAGAAAGAAGTTTTTTTCTTTAAAAAGAAATTTTGTTTATTTAAAACTTGTTTATGGTTTTACTTTTTAAAAACTTTTTGTTTCTTCCTCTTTTATTTCTTACTAATTTTAAGAAAAAAAAAAAAAAAAATCAGATTTTACAAAGATTATCATTCATTGTTTTCTCTTTCTTTTAATTATTGATCATTGATTGCTATAATCACTTTTATCATCAAATTTATTCCTACCATATATGAATAATGTAAAAAACGTTTAATTCAAAAATGATTATTGGTTTTATCCTTCTCTTTAGAATGTCTTCAAAACCAGTTTTTTCTTTTTTTTTTTTTTTTTCTCGCTACAATGTTTGACTGATGTTACTGCGCAGTAATTCCTAATTCCCATATTCCACTTCCATTAATTTCTTTTTTTTTTTTTTTTTTAAATTTAATAGCAGTACCATTGTAAATAAATACACACATACACTAGTAGCAATTACTATTGTTAGTAGTGTTTTAGCAATTGTTGTAGCAGTATTAAATGTAGTAGTAGTAGTGATAATAATTGTAGTGGTAATAGTAATGTTTGATAGTTTTGTCCTTTCGATACACCACAATCTTCATACAATGTCACTGACATACATATACATACATACATACACACACACACACACATGCACATGCACACAAATGCAAACACATATATATTGTCGAAAATATCACATACACACATACATAGACATACAATTAACCGACAGATAAATAAAGATGGTCAATAATACTACCAAATCCTTGTCGACACTGTCCATTCCATCCGATGGTCATCTCCTTTTCCTCCTCCTCCTTCTTCTCCCACTTATCGTCATCATCGTCATCATTATCATCATCATTATCATTATTATTATTATTATTATTATTACTATTATCATCATCATATCCTATCTCCGCAATTATTATTTTTTTTATCGTCATTATTTCACTGTTTCGCTTTTAAGAGATTTCATTGTTTCGTTTTTAAGAGACGTAAATAAGCTAATTTATCGATTTAATTCTATTTCTTAATAAATATTAATAATAAGTAACAAAATAAGAAAGTAACTGAATTTTAGCATTTTAGTGTGACATTGAATACTAATTGATAGCAAATGTTTTTTTAAATGAAATTTAAAGGAGATTAAAGTTAAGTATTGATTGATTCCAAAGTTTACTTATTTGAAAACACAATTAGTCTATATTTTGTCATATAAATTATTTGAAATGTAAAAGTTTCGGTTGTAAAACTTTCATCAAGAAGGTAAAAAATTTTAATTCTTTTCTAAGATTAAATATTTTTAAAACATCTCGATTTTCAAATATTTAATTGTAATCCTACGATATACTCGGAAAGAATTAATTGCTAAAGTTTCTCTGCAGTTATTTTATTCTTTTAGTTTAAGAATTTGAAAAAAAAAAAAAAAATAGAACAGAAAATCAATTTTTTCTTTTCTCCCTATTTTCCATTAAACATTTTTACAAGAAACTAACAAAAATTTCGTCGCTATCCTTAAATGATTTCACGAGAAAGTCGTATGAATAAAATAATTTAGCTTCAAATTAAATTTCACATTCATTTAAATTTTAGAATTTGTCTCATTTTCCCACTTCTCCATTTTATTCCTTTTCTTAAATAATTTAACTAAAGTTTAGAAGGAAATAATCAGTATATTAATGGCTACCAAATGTTTCAAATTCAAATTATAGATGAAAGTGTTAATTTTATAAGTCCTTGAAAATGATTACGTATAGTTTTTCGCAATCAATATTTTAGTCAAATTCAACTACGATTGTTTGTTTCGTTTTGATTATTTCTTTTTGATACACAATGGCAAATTAAAATTTAATTCTCAAATTACTGTTATACCATCTAACAAAATTTATAAAAATACTAATAATTGATAATAAATATTTAGAAGAAAAGGAAAAAAGAAAAATTTTACTCAAAAATTTTATTATCAAATTTATCACAAATTTCAAGTTATGCAAATTTTCATTTTTTCATTGATAGAAAAAAAAATTTATTTTTTTTTTCATTTCATTGATAAATTTTCTTTTTTTTCATCTCCAAATTTACCTCAAAAAAAAAAAAAAAAAAAAAAAAAAGAATTTTTTTCTTTTTCTCTTTCGCCATAGCTTTTATATATAACTATGAATTGAACTGATTTGTTAAAAAAAAATGTTAAAATAAACTGCCCTAATTTATATTATAAACCATTTCATTGTTATCTACCTTATAATAAAACATTTTTTTTTATCTTTTAATCATTCAACAAAACTAATTTATCTTAGATAGAAAAGATTTTCTATCCTTTAATTAATCAATTTAATTTTAACAGATTATTCATAATTACTATTTCCCTCATTCCTTCTTCCTCCTATTGTCTATTTCGAATAATTTATTACAGAATAATTAATGATAACAATAACTAATAATAATGATAATGATAATAACAATAATAATAAATATAGTGATAATAATAGGTTCCCTTTTTAATTGCGTATTATTTGCGTCATTTTGTAATTTAAAAAAACAAAGAAAAAACAAAGATGGAAAGGAAACAATTTTTTGTAATTAATCAAAAGTGAACTTTTTTTGATGTATGACAATAAAAAAAGTATTGCCATTTGTGCAGTGTCAACATTTTTGTCACAACATTATTAACGGAGTACCCATTTTCGTTCTTTTTTTATTTTTTTTTTTTAAAGTTATTTAATGAAAAAAACAATAAATAAATAAATTAATTAATCACAAATCGTAATGATTAATAATTTTTATTTGCGTTTATTTTTGCTTTCGTAATATTAATTTATTTTTTATTCCAACGATAAATGTTGCTAATTTATCATTCATCAATGATATATTATCAGTTGTATGATTTTTGTTGTTTTATTGCAATAACTAATATCATTTGTTTAATTTTTACGTTTCAAATTTAAACGTGTAATATTTAATTAGCAATAATTTAATTAATTTTTTTTGTTTTTTGTTTTTAATTTAACAGCGAGAAATAAATATTTTTTTAAAAGAAAATGTTTGCTCTTTTATTTTTTCATTCTTTTACTTTTTCTTTTTTTACTCTTTATTTTCGATCTCAAGTGCCATTTCAATGCATGCAGCACAATTATTGGAATATTGTCCACGAAATTCTCGCATCGATGAATTTGTTGACAGTGCAATAAGTGTTGCTAAGAGATCGACCACTTCAAAACAATTAAATTCGGATATCAGTATTCGTCAACGAATCAACAAAAACACTAATAATTCAATACAGTCATCATCATCGTCACCATCCTCATCACTATCATCGTCATCGTCATCATCATCATCATTACCATTAAATTCTACAACTATCAATGATAGAATATCATCATCAGATAATAATCAAACGAATAATAGTCGATTTCGATTAAAAAATTCAAAAAATTCAATACTATTACGATTTTCGGGAATATTCTATCGTTTATGTTGCTATGGTACTTATTTATTATGGTTTACAATTGGCATTTTGGCAATTCGAAAAACATTAAATGCTACAGCAGCGGTACGTTATGTCAAAGAGCACAGTGATACAGTATCCGAAGAAGTCATTGCCACTTCTAGCACATTTCAAAAACTATTATGGTCATTAGACCATGAATTTCATAAGCCACCAGCTATATTCCTGCTCAATCAGCATGCTCTCAATATGACATTTAATTTCTTATGCAATACACGTGATATGAATGGTGTTCATGAAAGGTTAACTTTTTAATTACTGGTAATTAATTAATTAGTAATTAATTATTCATTAATTCAATTATTTTATTTAATTTATTAGAAATTATTGCATGTAGTAATATTATTAGTAGTATATTAATTATTCTAAAAATTTTATGAGAATTTTTTAAAAAAGTTTTTTTTTTTTTATCAATTTTTGTTCTTTAAAAAAATTTTTAGATTAATTTTTATCACATTGGATGAAGTGGCAAAAGATGTGTTAAATGAATATTGGCCTAATATAAGGCAAGTATATTGGCCAACACCAAGTTTATATGTGAGTAAAATTTTTATTATTTTCTCATTAAAATTTGTATTTTTATTAAATGTTGAGCTTTTTCAAGTAATTTAATGTGCTGAAATATTCTAAAAACAAAAATTGACATTTAGGCATTCATATTTTTTTATTTTTTATTTTGTTAAATTTGAACAAAAAATAAAAATAAAAATAAAAAAATAGAACAAACTGAGTGTAATATATAGAACAAACTGAGTGTAATATAAATTACTTATCTCTTATTAAGAATTTTAAAAGGGAAATTTCGATTAAAAAAAAAATAATAATAGTTAATCAAAAAGTTGGAAATAAAGTTTTATACAATTAAACCAATTATCGGTAAGATCAAATTATCACTGTTTTTACAATAGAATTAATTTTGGATTTTAATTAAGCAAAATCAATTGAATTAAATTATTATCAAAAAAAGAATTTAACTTTCAGAAACCATTCAGTTTTGCGGAAGGTGCCTATCAGACATTATATTTACTTCGTGCTAACATGGCTGTATGTTTACTTAAAAATGGGAAATCATTTTGGATGATGCAACAAGATACATTCTGGCTTAAAAATATTTTTGACTTAGGCCTTGAAGAGAATTATGAATACGATGCAATCTTTGATCAAATTGGTTTTAATAATGTCTCACAACGAGCTGAATGGATTAATGGTATTGATTTTTGCACTTTTTTTTTTAACATATATTTTAATTTTAATTTTATCTTTTCTAATTCATATTTTAATTAAGTTTTTTCTTTTTCAAAGTAAAGTAAAATTTTTATTTGACAATTGATAATATTAAACTTTGTTCAATTTTGTATGATTTAATTAGATAAGATCTTATAATTTGATATTGCTCCTTTTTTCTTTTTTTTTCTTTCTTTTTTTTTTTTTGATTTTTGAGGAAATAAAAAGATAAGATAGAACTGATAAGATAATTTCGTATTCATTCTTCAATTGTATGAAAAGTGTGAAGGTGTGCAGAGTTCATTGGTTTTGGAATGGGAAAGAGGTCAATTTAATTTTGCAAAATTTAATTTATGTTTAATTTATGTTTGGAAATGAGAAAGAAAGAGAAGGCGAAACACAGGTAGAAAATGACAAGCAGATGTGACATCAATTGAAGTGATATATTATTTTAAATAATAAGCATAGGAATATTAATTTTTGATTGTATTATGTTTTACTGAAAAAAAAAAAAAAAAAAAAAAGTATTCGAATAATTTTTCATTTTTGTTTCAAATTAATCAGAAAAAAAATGGAAATAAAAAATAACATCAAAAATAATTCGATAAGTAACATTGTAAAGTTTGTTTGGAATACCGATCAGAACTTGACAACATTCAGGATGACATCGTACTGTTATCAAGAAATTAAATTTTAGCAAAATGAAATTGCAAGAATAACTGATTGAATTATAATTGTATTAGATTTTAGTGAAGAAAGAAATATTTAATATTTTTTTTCTCTTTTTTTGTTTTAATGGAACGATTAAAGAAGCGAACAGATATAAAATCTTTGATATTGATTTTTTTTTTTTTTTTTTGATGACATAACTTTTCTTTTTTTTTAAATAAATTAACTTTGAAATGCTTTTTTTCTTTTTATTTTTGAAAAAATGAAAAATCATTAGATTTATTTTAATTTGGACTCATTAAAAAAAAAAAAACCATTGAATTATTTGATTAATTAAATTTTCTTCGCACTACTGTTAACCTTTTTTCCATATTTCAATTTTTTTATCCTTCGGAATTTTATTTAATCAAGTTTAAACAAGAAATTAATTTTTATCAAAAGTTTAACTAAAAGAAAGAAATAAGGAGGAAGAGAAATTAAAAAAGAAAAGTGAAGAAAAAAAATTTAGCAGGATATTAAAACAAAACTCAGCATTCCATCGAGATCATTTATTAAGAAAAGTTTAAAGGAATTTTTTTTTTTTTGTTTCTTTCCAGTAATCTAACTCACCTATTTTTAAAACTTGTTTATTTTAATGATAGATGTATGTGCAATCATAAGCAAAACGATTAGGATGAAAAAATCTTTTTGTAAATTGTAAATTTATTTTATCAAAAAATATCCATAAATTAAAAATTTTTTTCTATGAATTTTTAAATATTTCCACAATAACATAAAGTTTTGTTTTTTGTGTGAAAAATTGATAATTAAAATTGAAAATGAAATTTAAATTCTTTTTCTAATAGTATTTTTTCAAATTTAAATAAATGATTTAGAAACGAAAGTGAAAAAAATGTCTAAGAATAGATTGTTGACATTTTATATTTTCTTTCTTATTTCCACTGTTTCTTTCATTTTTCTATTTATTACCTTTCACTTTATCATCATTACATAATCTTTATTATCATTAATCGATTGTAACAAGAATCGCACTAATATAAACTTTTTATCTTATGATAAGTTAAATTATTTTATATTTCAACCTGTCTTAATCGTTATCATTTACAGAATTACTACCCTGTGATAAGTTTAATTATTTTATATTTCAACCTGTCTTAATCGTTATCATTTACAGAATTACTACCCTGTGATAAGTTAAATTATTTTATATTTCAACCTGTCTTAATCGTTATCATTTACAGAATTATTACCCTGTGATAAGTTAAACTATTTTATATTTCAACCTGTCTTAATCGTTATCATTTACAGAATTACTACCCTGTGATAAGTTAAATTATTTTATATTTCAACCTGTCTTAATCGTTATCATTTACAGAATTATTACCCTGTGATAAGTTAAACTATTTTATATTTCAACCTGTCTTAATCGTTATCATTTACAGGCGCAAATTTCTTCGTACATGCAAATAATAGCACAGTAAAATTCTTCGAAGCTGTCGCACGTAAATTAGCGCATTGGTATACGCCAGATATGGGTATTATGATACATCAGTGCCATACATGGAAGGAACCAAAATGTAGCTATATTCCGCATAAGTAAGTATAAAGTTAATATAAGTTATGTTGTTAGGAAGTAAGTTAGTTATTTAGTGAGTAAATAAGTAAATGTCACTATTATCTTATTGTTCTTGTTATATTATTATTATTATTGTTCACATTTTCAAAATATTTGACATTTAATGTTTAACATTTGAAATTGAATGTAAATTTATTTACACAGTAATTAAATTTAATTCTTTTTTATCAAAGTATTAAAAATTTTAATATTAATTTTAGAATTGCAAATTCATGGGAATGGATGTATACCAATCAGAAAAATCCACCATACATTCTTCAATTGGACTGTGAAACTGATGGCGGTTCTAAATTAATGCAATTAGCCAAATTTGGATTTTATTTTATGAATAGCGACAATCATAGGGTATAAGAATTTATTTATTTATTTTCTCCACAAATTACAAATACAATTTTTTTTCTCATTTCAAAGAATAATTCAATTAAAATTGAAGCTATCATTACTTTATTTAATTATTGATCTTTTTTTTTGAAATAATTTTATATTGAATACCGTGCTTAATATTTTATTGCAATGAAAAATATAAAAGAAAGAAGAAAGGAAAAAGAAGAAAGATGACAGAGAGAAAATTGTAAAAAGTTGTACGAATATATATCTGTAATGTTTACATTAAAAAAAATTGATAACTATGTTCCACTTATCATTACTTATCATTCATAAATAAGCCATATATTCTTCTTATCATTACTTATCATTCATAAATAAGCCATATATTCTTCCTATCATTACTTATCATTCATAAATAAACCATATATTCTTCTTATTATTACTTATCATTCATAAATAAGCCATATATTCTTCCTATCATTACTTATCATTCATAAATAAACCATATATTCTTCTTATCATTATTATCATTTTTGAAATTCTTTCAGATATGTAATCAAACAGCGGTGGATGTTGCAAGAAAACGAATGGAAGATGGTAAAATCGAAGTGTCAAGGACTCGTCTTAGCTGGGGTCGTTTTCAATTTAAAGTATATTGGTGGATTGTTGACCGTATGCTTAGTATGCCAATTCTTGGAACAATGATGAAACCTTATCTTCCACTTATTGGTTTTATCGTTATGATTACAATTTAGAAGAGGGAAATGAACGAAATGATAACGATGAAATATTTATTTAGTGACAACTTAGTGATAAACTCATAATTGAAATTTATTTATTTATTTTTTTTTTTTGAAAGATGTTTCAATTATTATTATTATTTTAGCTTATTTCAATAAATAAATTGATAAATAGCATAGGTACTTTTTTCTTTTCTTTCCTTCCTTTTTTTTTTTTTTTTTTTTTACTAAAATTGTTTTGTTATGCTAAAAATTTCACAAACCGTTATCACTATGATGATGATATTATCATATTTATCAATGTGAAAATAATTATGAAACTATTTTATTTTGCTTTAAAATTAAATAAATTTTTTATTCTTCTGAGAATTAGATAAAAGATTATTTAGTTGTTAAACAATGGCAAATTTTGATTATTAATTAAAATTTTGATTAAAAAACGATAAAACTATTATCGAATTGCTACAAATATATATACATCTCATGCATTGTAATTTAATTTTAAGCATGTTTACTTTATTAATGAATTAAAAAATAAACAAATTGCTAACATTTGCTAAACAATTTTATCAATGATTAAAATGATATGTCTAAAGTTAAATTTTGATAAAAAGCTTTTATAATATTTTCAATTCTTTGATGACCTAAAATAACATAATTTTAGAGAATAATTTTAACAAACAGTTTTTTTTCCTTAATTAATTATTATTTCATAAATGAGTGAATCAATTAAAAATTATATATGTTAGTGAAATTTTTAATACAAATGAAATTCATTAAATTGGAATATAATCCATTAGAAATTAATTAAAATTAAAAAAACTTAAGAAAAAATATTCTGTAAATTTTTTTTTTTTTGATCACCTTGACCTCTGACTAAGATATTAATTGTAGCTTACTTATTCAATACTTTAAATTTTACCTTTTTTTTTTTTTTCAAATAAACATTTTTTACCTTTTTTTTCACTTATAATAGAATATGATAGTATAAAGAAAGTTTCACGTTGTTAGTTCAAAACTTAATCCTTATCAATTTCAAAGTCTAACTGCTTAATAAAACTTGATACTCACTGATAAAATTTGATAATATGTAAAGAGTAATTTATGATAATCTTAACTACTAAATGAAATTGTTTACAATTTGATTATTTATAGATGCACCAAATATGTACAACGCATATTACAAGTTGCATTACATCGTCTCCAATTATACCATATTTCTTCTCTGATAAGTGATTACACTGATAAAATTTGATAATGCAACCCATATCTGAAAAGAAATTAGAATTTAAAAAAGTCAAAAATTTGAAATTGAATAAAATTTGATAAAGGATAATTTAAATGATATATCATTATGATGTGTATGATACTATTACACTATGCAAACCATAATTTTTGAAGAAAAAAAAAAGAAGAAAAAGAGAAATTGATACAGTTAAATTAAAATCGTAATTTAACATCATTTTTATTTTTCAAATTTTCATTTCAATTAGTTCAAATAAGTGAAATTTGAAACAAACAATTGTACTATCAATGTCGTGTGGACTTAGAAAAAAAAATTTGTGACACAAAGTTTTATTTTCAAATTATTTATAAATTTGATTTTAATTATTCTCATTTTTTAAATTGATCAAATTATTATCACTTCAAACACCATTTACGATACTATCTATTCCTCTGCTAAATGTTTGGAATAGAAGAAATTTGAGAAATGGTCAGTCATCCAGTGTCCACTACATGTCCATTTCCATTTTATTTTACTTCCGGCTGTGACGTCATCTATTCATCGCTCTTTTCCGACTTATTCTATCGTTTATTTCATTCATCAAATCTTTCGGAAAAGTTTTGTGTTATTTTTACGGTATACTGGAAGAATACACATAAAACACACACTATAGAGAAATGGCGCAATTGTCGTAATCGTAAATGAACTTTTGTTTATTTTACTTTTTTGTAAAGCATTCGTTCAGTATTCCACAAGCATATTTAATAATTAAAAGAAGTAATACAAAATGGAGTAAACAATTGATTAATTACTCTAATGAAAAGACAAATGATAAAATGAAATTAAAAATTAAATTTAAAAAAAAAAAAAAATTGCTAGAATTAACCTTGTTTCCAATTTTATGCATAATATTTTCCATTGAAAATTTTAGCTTTGTTCTTTTCCGATTAATATTTTCATCCGATTGAATTATTTTTAAATAATTCCTATAATAATTACTAAATTTGTTGAAAATAATTTAAAAAAATGTTGAAATTTTTATCATATATATGTACCATTGCAAAGTTAATTAAACTTTTTTAAAAAAAATTTGGAGTAAACAAAATTTGCAATGAATTTAAATAAACTTAAAACCATTAAAAACCATTAAAATACTAAAAGCCTAGGCTAAATTATTTGCTTATGTCAGATTTTATTTATTAATTTTAATTTCTATTTTTTTATTTTTCAAAATAATGGATGAAATAGTATAATTTTAATTGTTACCAATTTCAAAATGAGTGAATTTTTTTTCTCTTTTGTTTTTTATTATTAAAAAATTGAAATGAAATAAATGGAAATAGAAGAAAATGAATTAATCCATTAATGTAAGCCATTTCAAAGCTAAGTTAGATTTGTTTTTAAATTAAATTATGCTATATTCCACACATATACATGCATTTTTGGAATGAAATTTTAGAATAAAAAAAAAAAGAAACGAAATAAAATAAAAGCTTTTAAAGATTTTTTTTTTTCCTTTTTAAAGTGATTTTGATAAATAATTAGACTAATTCAATCCATCCTCCATTTATGAGAATTATTTTCAATTTTAGTCCATTTCTACTCCTTTTTTCTTTTTCTCTTTCCCTCTCTCTTTCCCTCTCTCTTCTCCAACTTTAATTTCATTTCTTTTTTCAGCTTATAAAAAAGCTTTTATGAAAAATGAAGAAAAAAAAAAAGACAAAATCATCATTGAATGGAATGGCTTAAAAATTAAATTTGAAAAGTTAGAGATTTAAATTTTAACTCAACAGAATTTGAGTGGTAAATTTGATTGGAAAGACATTTAAGTGCAAACAATTAGAATGAATTGATAAAATTTTCTCAATTTTAAATTTCTGATTTTTTTATTCATTCAATTATTTCTCTTTTCTCCTTTATTTCTTTTTATTTTGCATTTTAAATAATATTTTTTTTTCATTTTTGTCAAATTATATTTTCAATTTATTTATTAGCAATTGACTTTTAAATAATTTTCCGAGATTTGAAGACTTAGAGAATAATTTCTTTCAGTCATTTCATTCCAAGGAAAAAAAAAGAAAAGAAAGATAAATTAAATCATTTTCAAAATTATTTTAAAAAAAAAAATAAATAAATAAATGAATCTTTTCAAAGTTCAAAATTAATTGTAACATATCCACGGACAGAGCAAATACAATTTAATTTAATTCGATTTGAGAAATAATTGTAATTTTAATTTATATACGAAATTAAAATTTTGTCCGGAAAAATAGAAATGAAATGATTGTCACAGATAGGATTTCATTGAATAAATGATTAGCTATTATTAATGAATTAATTAATGAATGTAAAAACCGGAAAACGATCATTTACTTTATGACAATACAACCAATGCATTTTGTAATAATTTCATTGATTATTTTCAAAAATCGTTATCACTTTTACTTTGATAACTTATCAGTTTAATTAAACATTTAAAAAATTCCTTTAAATTAAATTTAAATGAAAGTAATTTATTTAGCAGAGATGAAAGAGAAAGAAATTTTGTTAGAAATTGATCATTATTGAATACTTTTCCACCTTTTCCTTTTCATTTTAATGTACTATAAAAGAATCCTATAAGTTTGTGTCAACGATTAATTAAAAATGATTGAATATTGAAATAAACGTGTCATCAGACGTAAGTAAATCAGATTATACTTTATGTGACGGGCAAAATTGAAACCAGATTATGCCTTCTATGACGTGAAAAGTGAAACCAGATTGCGCTTTTCTGTGACGTGAAGAATGAAACCAGATTGCGCTTTTCTGTGACGTGAAGAATGAAACCAGATTGCGCTTTTCTGTGACGTGAAGAATGAAACCAGATTGCGCTTTTCTGTGACGTGAAGAGTGAAACCAGATTGCGCTTTTCTGTGACGTGGAGAGTGAAACCAGATTGCGCTTTTCTGTGACGTGAAGAATGAAACCAGATTGCGCTTTTCTGTGACGTGAAGAGTGAAACCAGATTGCGCTTTTCTGTGACGTGAAGAATGAAACCAGATTGCGCTTTTCTGTGACGTGAAGAATGAAACCAGATTGCGCTTTTCTGTGACGTGAAGAGTGAAACCAGATTGCGCTTTTCTGTGACGTGGAGAGTGAAACCAGATTGCGCTTTTCTGTGACGTGAAGAGTGAAACCAGATTGCGCTTTTCTGTGACGTGGAGAGTGAAACCAGATTGCGCTTTCTATGATGTGAAAAGTGAAAAAAGGAAGCAAATAATGCCTTGTTGTGACGGAACCAAGGATTGTGAATGTTCCGTTTTCTTTGTGATTTATTACGGATTTTATTTGATTTGTAAAAAATTTCAAAGCAAGAAAATGTGGTCAGACTATATTAAATAAAGAATAAATTTGAAAAAAAAAGAAATTAAATTCTGTGTTCTTTCTGGTATTAAAATAAAAAAAAAAAATTTGAGTAAATCGTAGAAAGTGAAAGAATGCGGATGGAAAAAAAGGAAAAAGATTAAAATAAATGAACAAAACAATAATAAATAATGAAAGAAAGAAAAGAACAAATAAAGTAATTTTTTTAAAAAGTATTACTTAAATTCATTTGTAAAGTATTACTTAAATTAAAATCCATCCTAAAATTTTATTTTGTATTTTATAAACTATTGGCTTACTTATTTGTTTAAAGCTTATTATATAACTAAAATATGAGAGTTTTTCTTAGGATTACATGAATAGTAAGTATATCTATTTGATAAAATTTAACAGATCTACTGATAATTATTAGAATAAATTGATTTGTTTCCTTCTTAAAAGTTAATCGAATATATTTGTTAAAATTTTGTAATAAGCGATTGAGAATAAAAAAAAAAAAAGAATTAGATTAAGGTAATTGTTTTATCATAATTATCAAAAGTTATTTTGATTTCCTTATAGTGATGGAATTTTCTGCATTTTGTTATTTATCACATTTTATTATATTTTTTAATGTATGTTTACTGCATTTGAAATATAATATTTATAATATTAATTGGAATATAAAATTTAATATTAAAATTGTAATCATATAGAAATTAATTGATAAATTAAACAATCAGGTGAATTAATTAGGACCGAGAGAAATCCTATACCTATCAATTAATACTGAAACAAGGTGACAGTGTGACAGTAATCTCTTCAAAAGTGTCTTGGATAAAAAATATATCACATAATATGAATATGTAATCTATGTGATAAAGTTAAAATTAAGATAAATTCAACGGTAAATATTATACTAAAGTAACGAGAGAGAGAGAGAGAGAGAGAGAGAGAGAGGGAGAGAGAGAAAGTAAGATATGATAAATTGTGGAAGTGATTTCACGTTAAAATTATTTGTGAAATTAAATTATTGATAAATCATTAATGATGAATATTATTCACTGATTTTTCATTAAAATTCATATTTTGATAATAAAATGCATAATACTAATTTGCTTATCACAAAGTTATTTGAAACTTTGTTTAACAAACAAAATTAAATTAAAGCAATATTCTATTATTTCATTATTTAATTACTTTAATCTATTATTTAATTATTTTAATTATAGATTTCTTTGATTAAAATATCAATGCTTAATCAAACATAGCACTGATAAAAATAATTTTAGGATTAAGTAACTGAAATTTTTATTAGATTAATGATTTCATGCATAATTTTTAAGTAATTCTAATAGTTGAAAATGAATTTTTAGTTATATTATTGGTTAGCATTTCCATTTTTACTTATATTAATTATCAGTCATTATGAAATGATAAATATTTGAAATAAAAAGTGGAAAAAAAAAAACGATTGCTAGTATTATCTGAATTATGCAAAACAGTTAAAATAAAAAAAGAAAGCAAAAATTTTTTTTATTAATTAATAATATTTAATTATTGATTAATGCAAAAATGGATGAATGATAAGTTTGAATGAAATAGCAAATAGTATAAATCATTTTGTTTTAATATTTATTAGAAAGTAAACTTTGGTAGTCATTTCGTACAGATAATTCAAAAAATTGTAACTGTTTACTTTTTTATTACTTATCACTTATCATTGCTGTTAATAATTAATAACAAATATTAATAAAAACAAATGAAACACAACGTAGTAAAATATATATTTTTTTATAATGTAAATAATAAAAATTAAATTGTGTAGAAAACGATAACAATAACTGATAAAAAGGAATTGATAATATGCTAATTGATATAATAGTAATTAAAGATTCAATGTTTTTCTTAAATGAAAAATTAAATGTTGAATTTGATACGATGTTGTGTCACAATCATTTTCATTTTTACAACAACAAAACACATTACTTCCCTGTGATATTTGCAATTCTTTTTCTTCATTCCAATTTAAATCAAAACAGCCAAATTTATCGGCTAAGAATGAAATTGAATCACAAAAAATTGAATTATCTAAAAAAAAAAAAAAAGAAAAATTGTATTTTGTGAAATTGTTTGGAAAAAAGAATAAAATAAAGAATTTAAAATTAATTTCTTATTTTTCAATAAATTTTTCTTTAACTCTTAAATTTTTTTTTTAATACTCTTTTTTTATGATAATTTCAAGCCGAATAAAATTCTTCCATCGTTTTTTTTTTTTTTTTTTAATTTTATTTTCAAAAATTTCAATCGAAACAGAAACACAACGATGATTTAAGCTATTGGACAACAAATAATCAAAATAATAAACCATTTAAATTATTTACCAAATAATTTTGGCCTATGAGTTCTTTCAATTTTTAATAATTCGGTCTGCTCTGTAACACATTTCGAATTTCTATAAAATTTATCTGTTTTACCTGCAAAAAAAAACGATAGTTATAATTAAAATAAATTTTATAAGGGAAGCAAATTAGTGATATATTATATTTCGATGATATAATTAGTAATTAAAATAATTTTTAACAATTGCTGAAATTTCCACTCTTTCAAATCAAATTTTTAATTTAGCAATATAATTTTGATTATTTATAATTTCAAAATTAATGCACTTTCTTTTCACATTTATAATTTATTTAATAATTTTTTGTTGAATCTAATTTCCATCTTACATTGATCTAAAATAATACTTTTATTATTTTACATTCTGTTCCTAATAAGTTATTTAGAGTTATTTTAATATTTAGTTTATTTTTGTTTTTGTCAAGTTTAATTTGATTTTTTGACTCTTTTCTTTTTTTTTTGATTTATTTGGACAGGTCATTATTTGATTGATTACTCATTTAATTATTTTAATTTTATTTGTACTATCTTTTATGTGTATTAAATCTTTGATATATTACTTAGAGTGCCGAGAAATTTACTATCATTCAAAATGTAAATCTCATTACTTGTAGTATTTTCTCATTATTACTCCAATGGATGGCTAATTTTTAAAGTTATAACTTATTTGATTGTATTTCCAGTCTAACTAAATATAGCAAATTTAGAATTTATACATGAAAAATAACTTTTTAAAAACTTTATAAGTATCATATAGAATTTAGTTATTATTCAATTATATTTGGTATAGGTATATTATGAGTTGATAATAGCTTCCTTTTATTTAGAAATATTAAAAAAAATTTTTATTCTTTTTTTATTTGTAATTTTTATCGTTTTTCATATTTCGTTTTTACGAACAAAATGTTTGCGACAGTATTCTTTCTATAATTATCATACATTAAGTAAGGGATTTTGTTTATTCTTATTTAGTAAGTTAACTTTGAACTTTTCAACTTTTCTTAATGTCTTTTTGACATGGTTAGAAGGTATTTTATCACCTGATTATTTAGATATTAATAATATAGCTAGTTTATTTACTTTTTCAAAAACAACAATTAAGTCAGTTTTTGAAGTGAATTATTCTCGTCTCATTTATCAATATTATATGTATAATATTTGATATGAATAAAATTATTAATGAAAGTAACCATCAAAAATGATTTTTGCATAAAATGGACTCGAGAGACACCATAAATTTCCAGCTGTATTCAATTTATGAAGATATACAAAACGTGACTGCAAATAAATTTTATTTTTTTTTTTTTAAATTCAAATGATTTATGTCATTTGTTGGAAAAAAAAGGAAAGTTTTGTATCATTGATAGCTAATTTTAATAAATAAAATAATTTTGAAATTTTAATCTTTTTTTAAAATATATCTAATTGTACAACTGAATACTGAAGCTGAATAACTGAATTTGAATAATTAAGTAATCAAATTAATGCAAAAAACCGAATAACTAAATAATCAATATTTTGTATGTTTCATTGTTATAAATATATTCAATGATTTATTAAATATGAATATAATATATAAGAAATGAATTAAGTATTTGAATTTGAGTATTAATCGAGAAGTAAAGAGAACTATACATAATGATTAGTTGCCTCTATGATTAGCATTCTTTTAGCCATTGATATCATTTTTGGATCACTATTGCATGCAGGTGCGCTAATGTCGTAGGTACGACAAAAACATACGCCAACAGGAAAAACTTCATCAGTTAAATAAGTTTTGCAAAATTGCGTTTCCGTTCCACTCATGAAAATGATTTAAATTATTGAAGAAAAATTGAAATTTTTGAATAAGACATTAAAATGTTTCAATTCTTAAAAATATTCAAACAATTTCATTTTTTAATTTCTTCTTTTTCTTTTCAATTAATTTGATGAGGTAAAATTAATTACAAGTGAATTTTATGCAAAAATCATATAAATTTAAATACTCATAATGTGATGCAAAAATTGTGATAATAATTTAAAAGAATTAGTAACCTACAAATTATACATTGAAAATGCTATGTGATTGAAATTTCTTTTACTTGCTTCTGCTACTTGTCGTGTCACACCATTTCCTCTGACAAGCACTTTCACACCTCAAAAAAAAAAGAAAATTAGAAAAAAATGAGAGTAATTATTAATAATTTATTTATTATTTTATTGTTCTATAAATGCTTAAACTGCTTAATGTTTTTTATTTTATTTTTTTTTTTTTTGCGTTTTAAAAAATTAATTAATAATGAAATAAATTTATTATTGCATTTGATAACAGACCATATTTTAGATCTATTATTATGGATGCTTCAACAAAACAATAAGAAGTGTGGCGCACATATACTAATTCATTTCTTTTCACTTCTGCTCCCTTTGCTTCATACTTAATACATTTTGTTAATGATTCATTCGGCTGTAAATTCATTTTTTTTTTTTTTAAATAAATTTATTAAATATATGCAATGATAGAATTAAATATTATAAAGAAATATTTTAATAATTAAAATAAAATTGTTTTAATTAAATGAAATGAAACAAACAAATCTCTCTGCACGATTTGCAATTTCTGTTTCCAATTTTTGATCACAATGATTGCCATCCTTTCGTAGACTACAACTACACACGAATACTTTTAATGGCATATAATTTGTATTAAATTTTTCATTAAAACAATCAACGGATCGTTTAATAGTAGCTGTACTAATCTGTAAAAAAGTTTTTTTTCATTTATAAATTTTCGGTTTTTTTTGTTTTTCATTTATTATTAATTATTAATAAATTATATATTTTTATTTAATAAATTGTAAGAAAAAGTTTATTAAGTTTGTTTTATTTTTTGATCAATCATTAAAAATTCGCATTTATAAGTTTTTGCAAGTTATTTGTACTGTAAATAGCTACAAAGCATTTATTAGTAAATATTATTGGCTTTAAATAGTCAAATATTAATTATAGTGCAGTGATATGATTAAAGATATCAAATGATTAGTTTAATTAGAAAATCGATTTCAATCTTACTTCTACTTCAACATATGTACAAGTATTATTTTCCAGGAATGTATATGAAAAATCAATCGGATAAAATCCATTTCCTAAATGAATTTCCAATTGCCATTTACACATATTATTAATATAAAATTAATTATTTATTTATATAAATGTATTAGAAATGATTGAAATGTATATTATAAATAATTTTATGAATAAATATTATAAATAATTGTATGAATAAATATTAGAAATAATTTTATGAATAAATATTAGAAATAATTTTATGAATAAATATTAGAAATAATTTTATGAATAAATATTTAGAAATGATTGAACTATTCACCTGGATATAAGTGAAAAATTGAACCATTTTTGCTGCTAGTTGTGCTAATATCATTTATTGTGTTACTATCAATAAAATGTAATAAGCACACGTCATTATGCGTTGAATTGACGTAATACTGATTGAATAAATACTGATATCTATCGTTATAGAAGCATTTTGGACGAGTAGCATTTTGGTTGGCTAATTTTGTATAAATATCAGGCTAAAAGTTTATTTAAAAAATAATAATTAAATAATTATAGAAAAAAAAAAAAAAAAAAAAAACGAAACAGAAAATAAATCTGTGATTAGTTAAATGATAAAAAATTCTTAATCTATCTTGTGGATTGTTTTTTTATTTTTAGCTAAAATAATTTTTGCCAAAGATTAGTTTATTTTTTTGCTTCCTTTCCCCTTATTTTTGGGTAAATTTAACAAATGAAAATTAGAAAAAAAAAATTTTTTTTTCGGTTAAAATGAATTGGAAATCTATAAAAAAGGAAACTCACATTGTAATTGCAGAAATGTTGATGATTACAACAACATAATATGTCGTGCGTTTTGTTCGTATCAGGTGTTATGAATGGACAATAATCATCATAATCTTTGAAATAATATTTATAAATTAATTAAAAAAAATTTTTTATAAAATATAAATTTTTTTAATTTTGAATAGAATGTAGAATTTATTCTTTTTGATATCATACATTTCATCAACCTCTTTTTATGTTTATAAATTATCAGATAATATTTTTAATACATCTGATTATTATTCGTTGAATCACACTATCACTTAAATTATTTCACTATCAAATTTCTAACTTATCATTCTTCATAAAAAGTTTCCATATATCATACTCCATCTTAATTAGAGTACCTAATTATTATCAAAGTTTTGAATTACTGTAAGCGACGAATTTGCTAATTTTGTTATTTTCAATTGTTAAATTTTAAAATGAAATTTAAAATTGCAAATTAATGCTCACCACTAGTTGAAAAACAATATGTTCTAATTATTGGTCGAAGACGAATATCTAAAAGGCCCGATTTTATGCACAGCGATTCATCAATGCCAAATTTAATATTATTATCTGGTTTCAAATGCATATAGCAGTACTACAAATGATAATTATAAGGAGATGTATGAACTAATTAATTAATTGCTTTGTACATTAAAATAATTATATTTCCTTATCTTTATTAATTTATCTTTTCATATGAAAATCCAACAATAGTAACAATTTTTTCTTATTAAAAAAAATTACAGAAATTTCCTTATATATTATTATATTCATATAATAGTCTCATAATAAATATTAAAAATTTTAAAATAAGAAATTAAACTTATATTAAGCTATGAAATCATATAGCATATAAGCTTATTGATAAGGCATTTAAAAAATAAACTTATGAATTGTAAAAAAAAATGAGAATATAATCAATTACCCCATAATCATTCAATTCTTCCATAATATGTAGCATTGTTCCTACGGTCATCTTAAAAGTTATACTTTTCTTCCCTTCTTTATTTCTGCAATTATTAATACATACTGCATTTTTTGCTTACTGTATTCTTTATGCATACTGTATTCTTTGTTTACCGTACTCTTTGTATACTGTATTTTTATATACCGTATTTATATCATTTTTTCCCTGTTACGTACTGCATTTTTTATAACTTTTAAGGCCTTTCATTGTTTTTTTGTCATTATGATGTAACAATAATTTTTGTGTATAAATAAATTTAAAAATGAGTAGTATTTGCATATGAATAAGTTTATTAAATTGAAATAATAATTTTTGTATTAAAAAGGGAAAAGTCATTTACAAAAATTTATTTGAATTTTCTTTTGATCCGATTACATAATTATTTTTTTTTTATTTCTTATCTTCTTATGCATCATTTCAAAAGGAAAATAGTAAAAAGTGACAATATATTATTTTTTGTGTTAATATATTATTTTCTAAATTATGTTAAGCTAATTTGCTAAGCTATCATAAATAATTCTTTCAGATAAATTCTTTGATCAAAATAAAATTTGATAAAATTTTTACCCATCTATTTCAATTTTTTCTTTATGAAATAAACAAAATAAATGATTATGCTTTGCTTCATTTTTGCGGAATAAAAGCGCCGCTGTTTCTGTAAATGATTAAATTGACATTAATAATATGTCAATAAATTTAATAATAAATGAAAAAAAAAGAACTAATATTAAGAAATAAAGTTTAGAATCACTAATTAATTTTTTTTTTAACTTTTTTATTGAAAAATATTTGAAATAAAATTGGATATTCTATGATGATATCATAATATATTACTTTTGCTTCATTAATAATGAATTTTTAATAATAAATGAAAAAAACTAATATTAATAAGAGACCAATTTTCACTCAATTCATGAAGCATTTGTTATATGTATAAATAAGTAATTGATAAGATTGTTGAATATTATCAAAGAGGAAAAAATAATTAAAGGAATGATGAATTGTAGATACAAAAAAAGATTAATAACAATTAAAGAATAATAATAATATGTAAATTAAAGAATAAAAAAGCAATTGAACATACTTTGACAATCTCTCAAAATAATACCATAACAACAACAGAAATATTCGAAATTATGCTGGAACAAACCGAATGAACATGATTCTACAACCTAAAAAATTTCGATTTCAATTTATTGAATGCAATGAAATGATGAGAAGAACTGATTATTTCTTCATTTGCAATAATTTCTTTAGAAAAATTAAAATTTTAAATTTAATTTTGCTTTATTAAATATGTTTGTTTTGAATGATAATTAGACAAACTTCCTTTTTTCATCCTTTTTTTTTTTCTCCAGCTATCTCAAGCACAATAAACGAAATAAAATTTATCTAATATTAACAAATGATCCGATCAAAAAAAAAGGAAAACACTGATATGCAAAAGAAAGTATTTTAAATTTTAATTCAAAAAAAAAAAAAAATGAAATTAAAAATTATACTAACACTAGCTAAATGAGCATAATTCATGTCACAATATTCTCCTAATGAATATTTTACAGCGATAGTTGCATTATATTGTCCCATTTTTAGCAAATTTTTAAACACAGATGGATATTTTTCACCAGCTAATGGATTGATAAAATTTTGTTTACCATATGTGTAGCATACATTATTATTTCCGGTTACTGGTATCTATAGGAAAAATAAATAGTTTTAAACTTTAACTTTACACCAAAACATTTAAAATGCAAAAAAGAGAAAGAAAAAATTATAATAAATAAACATTTGACTAATATATTTAAAAAATTATTGTTCTATTTATTTTACAATTATTACTTCAAAAATAAAATTAAAATTTTCGTTTTCAAAATGATTTACTTCTCGATAATCTTCTGTTATGCAAATTGCTGGAAAATTCAATTTTCTCAAACGTCCTGTTAATTCATAACTATGATATTTACTGATCGTTTCAATGATCGAATACCGATGAGCAAGAAATTGTGACTTTAAATAAATGCGCCAATTTTCTTCATCACGTTCACATTCATTACAACAAGTTATAAACATATCAATCAAATGTTTATCATTAATCTGTAATTAATTGCAATATTTTCATTGATTGATTATAACTAATCATATCACTCATCTCACCAAAAATAAAATAAAAATCACTACATGATAATTAATTAATTAAAGAAATTTGATAATTTAAAAAAAAAAAGCAGTATTTACCAATATTTAATATTTTTATACAAAAAAAAAATTAAAGACTTGTAATAATTTAAGTTTATAAAGAAGCAAATGAAAAAGGCTTACCGGAACGACTACCTCCTGAAACGGATCACTAGCAGTAGCACCTGTTAGTCGTACATATTGGCATAAATCCATTCCGATATTGTCAAGTTTCTCTGCCATACTAGCATCTCTTTCCGGATCATTATAATATATGGAAAAATCAAATCCGTCCGTAATTTTTATACCATAAATGCACATTGCTGGTAATTCCCTAAATGTTAATAATTTTGAAAAATTTATCAAAATGAATTTATCATTATCAATTAAAGAATTTAATTATCAATAAATGTATAATTTTATAAATGCATTACTTAGTATAAATTGACAATGTTTCCGGTCTATAACATTTAACTTTTGCTACTTCTTTTTGCTCTCCTTGTTGCTGAAAATTATTAAAATACTCTTTTTTCTTTCAAAAAAAAAGTAAAAGCATTGATTAAAAAGCTGAATCATTTAATCATTTAATTAAACTGTTTATTTTATTCAGTTTTGTAAAAATTTCAACAAAAAATGAATTAATTATTAGACAAAGAAAAGAAATTTAGCCATAGCTATAAACATAAAAATAAAAGCAAATTGTAAATGAATTTAACCTTTAACAAAACTTTTAAAATAAAATAATTTGGTTTAGAAATTTATAAATATGAAATCAAAGATTAATTTTTAATTCTAACTTTTGCATCATAAAAAGTGAATGTAATTGCAATTTACACCTAATACATTTAATAATGAATTCTAATTTAAATTTGAAATGATAAAAAGATTCAATCAAAAAAGTTAAACTTTCTCATTGCTCCAATATTTTCTGTTCATTTTGCTGAAGTAATAAAATTTTTTCAAAATTCACTCTCTTCTACGATTTTTTACTTTAAATCTGATCTATTAGTCATTACAATAGCAAATCTATTCATACATTTTATTTTCTGTGTCATTTTCACAATTTTGGATTGAAAAATTTATTTAACAATTCTTTTTTCTTTTTTTTACCTTTAGTGAAAATTAAACTTTTAGTGAAAATACACAAAAATTTGGTAAGAAAAATTTAATTTTTTTTATAAAAAAACAAAAGAGAGAGAGAGAGAGAGAAAGAAAAAGAATTGTTGAATAAAACATCAATCAGTTAAATTGAGAGAGAGAGAAAAAGCTAACAGTTGATTTCCGATGAAGAATTAAAAAAATTGCCAAGCGAAATAATAGCTTCAACATTTGAAATATTTTTAAGCAAACCGTTCAACCGTTAGCTTTGATGAAACAATGATTGACTAAATAAACTTTTATATAAATGCTTGAAAATTCGCTCTTTTATATTTTAAATTATTAGAATTGAATATGAATGGAATGAATATTTCAAATAGTCAAAAAATTGATTAAAATCAAAATTTGCATTTTAATTGAAAAAGTTAAATTAAAGTGTAAAGTGATGCCTGAAATGGAAACTATTCATGAAAATATTTTCAAAATGATAAAATTTAATGCTAATTTAGTGATAGCATTCAAATATTTTAAATATTTCTCAATTATTTTATTCTCATTTCATTTTCCTAAATAAAATTTGAGTGATGGAATTATGATGAAAATAATTTTGTGAAATGTCAAAAAAGTGGAAAAAATATTGTAGAATTTAAAACAACTTTTGAAAATTTAAGATTATTTAATTTAAACTAATACTTAAGCGAATGGTTATAACAGAATGTTAATACACGTCTGTTTTTTTTTTTGCGTTTAATGTTTGCGTTACGTGTTTTTTGCGTTTAATGTTTGCGTTACGTGTTTTTTGCGTTTAATGTTTGCGTTACGTGTTTTTTTGCAATGCAGAAATGATATTACAAATGGTAAATCACGTAAATATGAAAGATCGATGAATGATTCGACTAATTTGATGGAAATTTAATCAATGTTTTGGAAATTTTTCATGTCACTGATAATTTTCAATTATTTAATTAATTACAAATATTATTTGTTTCAATCATATCATTGATACTTATTTTGATGATATTAGTTGCATAATTATATCACAAAAAAAAAATAAAGGATTTATACCTGCACTTTTGCGCACAATCTTTCAAAAAACTGAACGACATCACCGCCATTGCCTTACTGTTATCATTTCTATAAGTTGAATTTATCAAAATTTGAAAATAATTATTTGACAAAAACAAGAATGGAATTATCGCATTGTTTGTTTTCTTCTTTCTTTTTTTTTTTAAAAAAAAATACTTCAATTAAGCTAACTTTCAATTTATTGTTTCTACTTTGTGCGCATATGTCGTCAAATGATTCACAGGAAAAAGAAAGTATAGAAATTGAAGCATTTTTTAATCATTCATAATTATTCAGAAGCTGAAATGTTTAATCTTTTTAGAGAAATCGATTTCCTTTTTTTTTTTTTTTAACCTAAATTTATTTACACATGATGGCTTATTTTATTTGATTGAATTTGTTTATTTAGCTATCGAATGCAGAAATTAATTACATCTCTAATCTAGCTTAATTCAAATTACAATCAATTTAAAATTTGAAGATGATAAGTTTTGGATAAAAATTAAATGAAATTTTGTAATGTTGAACCAGTCAAAAACAATTAATTTGAAATTGGAAAATAAATTGAAATGAATGATTTCAATCTGAAATGAAAAGAATGAATTTGAATAATTCTGAAATTAGAATTCTTCTCGCTTTGAAAGACGACGTAGACATTTCCGCCCTTTTCCTCAACAAAATTTCATTTTCATTTTTCATCATATTAGTCGTCATTTGGAAGTTATTTATTCACCCTTTTTTTTTTTCCTTTTCTAAGTCTCCCAATTTTTATTTTTTTGCTTCTCTTTTAATATAGCCTAGGCTCGTACCAGGCTTTCTCTTGCTTCAATATAGCCTCAATATTTTCAAAATTTCACTTTCAAATCCGTTTTTTCTTTTTAGTAGCAAATCAGGAAACATATTCATTTGTTATATATTATAATTAAAAATGATCGATATAAACATCAGTAAAAATATGAATTATTAAATAAATAGTAATTAATAATTAATGAACTGTAAGAATAAAGCAATGAATGAAATATGAATTTTGAATTATTGCAATGAAAATAAAAAGATGAAATTGAAAATGGAAAAGCTTGAATTGAGCTAATCGTCAAATTTTTCTCACTAAATTAAATTGCAAGCATATAGCATTGATTTTAGAAAAATGAAAATTTTTTGTTTTCTTTTCCTTTTTTTTTGTCCAATTGTCGATTTTGTTAAAAATTCTTAATTTGTCTTTTTTTTTGTGCTAAATTTAATTCAAAAAATAAAAAAAAACTTTTGTTGTATTTGGTTTTCAATCATTGATTAATTAATTATTATTATTTTTAATTCATTTCTGATTTTTCCTTATTTATATTATTATTTTTCTGTCAAATTTCGCTTTTCTTTTAATTTTTCTATTTACATTCATTCATTCTCACATCAATTTGTTTACTTGAAAAAGTTAATTTATGGTAGAAAGAAATGAAAAAAAAAAGAGAAAAGACTCATTGATTGAATATTTTATTAAATTTTTTCACGCAACATTATTTCACTTGACTTTTACGTCACGTTATATTAGTCAATTTTCACGTAATATTGTAATTCTTGCAGCTACACGTAATAGTATACAAATAAACAATCTTAATTTTCAGAGAAAGAAAAACAAAATAATTATTAGTTAAGTCAATATTATAAATAGTTGGGGCAATATATGTCATCAAGTTGCCTCAATTATTATTTTTTTTTTTAACCATTTTCAGATTAAATTTTCTCAGAATTTCTTATCGATGTAGTTAATATGAAGGAAATTAAAAAGATCATTCATAAACATTAATAGGAAAATATTGAAAATTACTGAAGGGATGATAAATGTTTGAATATAAAAAATTTTTTATTAACTAATTATTTTTGAATTTATTATTTAAAATTTAAATTTTACAAATAATAGATGTAAAAAATAATATTTTAAAATTATTTGATTATTTTATTGTTATTTTTTTATATAAAATTTATTAGATGCTTTATAAAATTAGAAAATTCTCATGAAAGAGATAAAAAAAGCTAATTTTATTACTTGAATTTTAAAATTTAGGAAGATATTGCATTGAATATGAGATTTATGTTTTCTTTATTTTATTTCCATACAATTATTCCTATATTTTTAAAAATTTTCTTTTAAAGATTGATTAATGAGATGAAAATTTTTAGTTATAAATAAAATTTTTGAATTTTTTTTTGCTCTTTTTTTTTTAATGGAAAACATTTTCATCCATAAAATATAATAATGCATGTTGAAATATTGACATTAAGTATTCATCGGTTCATTTGCCTCTCTCTTTCAAAAAAAAAAATCTTTTTTCCTCTTTAGAAATTGATAAGAAATATGAGAGAGAGAGAGAGGGAGAGAGAGGGAGAGAGGAAGAAAGGTTAATAATACTTTTGTACTGCATAATTCGTTCAGTTCATAATTGATTAGAACATTGTCCTAAAGGACAAAGGATGATAAGAACAAATTCCTTTATCAGTGATTCATATCTAAATTAAATGAAAAGATATCAAATCAAAATATGACTAATTTCAGTTGGATATGAATCACTGATAAAGAAATTTATTGTTGTTATCCTTTGTCCTTTAAGTGAATGTTTCAATTTTTGTATCAGATGATGGTCAATGTTAAAGATATGTTTAACGTGAAATTGACGTGAAATTGTTTGTTTATGGAGTTTGACGTAAGTTATGGTAAGTTAACGTGAAATGCTTTGTTTATAGTGATTGATTCAAAGCAATTTGCTTATAAAGCTTGACGTGAAATTATTTGTTTATAAATCTTGAAGTAAAATTATTTGTTTATGAATGTTGACGTGAAATTATTTTGTTTATGAATGTTGACGTGAAATTATTTTGTTTATGAATGTTGACGTGAAATTATTTTGTTTATGAATGTTGACGTGAAATTATTTTGTTTATGAATGTTGCCATGGAATTCTTTGTGACACAAAAGTCTTTGTTTATAATATTTGGCATAGAAAAAAACAAATATATAAAAAATTTTTTATATATTTACGAGAAATGATTGCGAAGTTTTTATTACATACATTTAGTACTTATACTTTCATCATAATTCCAATACTTAAGCCTTCTCTCTAAACTTTTCTTTCCATTTTCACTTAGTCTATTAGAAATATTAGAAT